GCAACTTCAAATGCGACAAATACACCTTTAATATAACTACCCTAATCCAATATATAATATATAATATTTTTATACCAAATACCACATCCTATGGGTAATGATATAATATAAACCTTTCCTTATCTATAAACCTTGTTATGACAATAATTTTGTAATTACTAGTTTTGTATATTTATTTGCTGATTTTGTGCACCAATTTGCTGATTTGCTATACCAATTTGTTGAGTTAACACACCTAATTGCTGATTTGTTGTAGCTATTTGTTGATTCATTTGCTGAATTATTGCACCAAGTTGCTGTTGAAATTGATTCATTTGTTGTTTAAGATCGTCAATTTGATTGTTCTTTTGAGCTTCATTAATTTTATCTTTAAGTTCTACTAAATCTCTTAAATCTGCGCTAATGGCTGGAGAATTATAATTAAATATGGTTTTATCATTCTCAATTGCATTAAATAGGTTACGAATTTTAGTAACAGGCATATCATAATAACTAAAAATAAATAAAATATGGTGAGAAAATGTATAAATGATAAAAAAACTTCAATAATAACAGATTAATATTTACATCCAATCTGGAAACCATTCTTTATTATGTTTCAAACTTGGAAGCATGTAAAGTAATTCAATTTCCATAATAATCTTTTTAAAATTAAATATTATTTTAGTCAATATAATAAAAATTAAATATAAACTACGATATCACTGGTCAAAAATATGAAAATCGGGTATGTTAATTTGGCCAAAAAAATCAACCTTAAATTGATATCAAAATTAAAAATCAGAGGCTGATTATAGGTTGAAATTTAAATTCGGTATGTAAATTTAGACCGATTTTAAAATCAAAACCTTTGAATTAAGGCCGATTTTTAATTTAGACATTGATTTGAGGTTTATTTGTTATTTGAAAAATAAATATCTATGTTAAAAATCTGCCTAAGTTTGAAAATCGATTTTTTAGTTTTAAAATTCAGTTCAAATTTGCATGTCGAATTTAAGATTCAACTTAAAATTAGCATATGATTTTTAATTTAGATATTGATTTTAGGTTATTTTTTTGGGCCAAATTCGATCTAAATTTTGAAAATCAGTATAAGTTTCCGATTTTCATTTTTTGACTAGTGTATAATCTAATATAAAAAAAGATACCCGTGCTTTTTGAAGTAAATATTCTTCCTCTTTATTATATTTGCCAATTGCTATGTTTAGCAATCCAATAAATAAATTCAAAAGATAAATTACTGTGAAAATTGTAAAGGTAACTAATAAAAGTGACATTAAGGGATTTTCTTGATAGGTCCATGATGACAAAGCTCCATAATCACCTATAATTTTTATATTAAATAATAAAGAAATTATTATTTTTTTTTTTTAGAAAAATTAAGTTTTATAAATGGAAATAAAATTATTTACCAGTGATCATTTTATATACAGCAAACAGTGAAGTAGAGAACCGATCAAATAGATTTGTATTTGAATTAGGAGGCTGAACTAATGTAGTATTATTTATAATTTCATTTGAATTAGCAAAATAATATCTTGATGCAAGATTCCATGGATTATTATCGTTATTGTTGGTTGATCTTAAAATAAAATGAAATGCTTGTGCATATCCAAGTATTATAAATAATAAGATCATCAAAAACGGAGAAACAGTTTGGGCAACACCCAATATTATTGCAAAATAAATTCCATATGATTTAAATATTCTAAAAAATAATAAAAATTTAAAACTTAATAATATAATAGATATTGTAACAAGCCACGGGTGTAGGCTTTTATTAACGATCCAACAAATAGATGTTGCAATTGGTAAAGAATACGCGCTGATATCTATAAATGATTAAATCAAGTTAAAAATTATTTAAATATAAAAGCAATTGTTGCTCTTTTCGATGTAGTTGGATAAAATGGAATATATGAATAATTAATGTAAGCCCCGCAAAATATAATAAAGTTACAGGATTTACGGGACTCAAAAAAGTTACAAAGATCGTCGATTCAACAGAATCGATACTTACCAAAAAAATTCCACAGATCAGTAAAATAATTCTTTCGTATCCAGATATATTGTAGAATTTCAGCAATAAAAAATTTGATACCAAATATTATTGTAATTATAAAAAGTGATTGGCGTTGAATATCAGTGATAGAATTTGATTCTAACATAGAAGCTAATGAATAACAAATATAAAATACTGTGTACAAAAACCAAATCAAGTAATAATAAATCCATCCAAAAGTTCTCCATTTAAAATCTATAATTGCAACAAAATTCCACCAATTGTAAAACTTGTTGCTATCAATATTACAAAAGAGAATAGATTTTGGTACATATAAAAATTTATTCCAAATATTAATTGGAGGATCGATATAATTATTATTAGTCGCCTGATCTTTTTTTTTGCTATCATCCTTGTGACCATCTTTATGATTATTTTCAGTCTCGTCTCTATATACACTTATTTTAGGAAATGGAACAATAAAACTGATTGTTGGGATTTCTTCCTGATTCTTTAAATTTTGAGTTAAACTTTTGAATGATGATGATATTGATTTAAAGTAACCATTAATTGAATTTGATTTTTTAATACAAATATCTTTGTATGAATAAAGCGAAGTATTTGTTGAATTAACAAAGGAATCGCAATAAGGCGATAATATAATTGATGTGTATGAGATATATTTGATTATGAAATCAGGATAAATCTTACATAATTCTAAAAAATTTAAACTAATAAAAGGCAACAATGTCATCATGTAACTACAATTAGTTTGTAAAGGGTTCAACAATCTCATGTAATCATTATTTTTTGAATCAATCAGAGTTGATTTAATAATTTCATCAATAACTTGTTGAATAATATCATCATATTTTTTGTCAATCGCTACTTTTAAAATTTCTAACCCAAAATTTGAAAACTTATCTGCATCCTTTATAATACGTGGGACTATTTGTTTCATTCGTCGATAATCAGCTTTCTCACTTGATGTTTCGGATATAAATTTTGACAATGCTTTCGTATCATTTATAATATCATTAACTAATGGAATGTTACGAAAATCATTATTAGATTCTGTTGGTATAAATCTTGTTAATGGTATTGAGGAATTTGAATCACTAAATTCATTATTTAAAATCTTGTTAAATAGTTGTGTATAGTGTTGAGTAATAAAATCTTTATTGAAATCAAGATTTTCTTCTTTGAATTTTCTATAAGTATCTTCCCACTCAACATTATTCCATTGGTATCGAAGATTAATTCCATTAATTGAATTTTTATCTCTTATCCAAATTTCAATTTTTTCCACATTAATTAATACCAAATCCTGTTGGTTATTTATTAGCTTATAGGAAAGTGTATAAGGATTAGGAAAAGGTGCGATTTGATTATGTACAATAGATTGATTCGATTCGTTGTTGTTTATCTCAAACGTTATAAAATCTGAGCTATCATCATTTCCAAAAATAATATTTCCATCTTCAAATTCTATGTTATTTGGTGCAG